ATTGTGTGAGTTATTGGACAATGCTGACCAATAGTTGAATAGCTTTGTTAATGATCCAACCAATAGGAAGCCCCATTCTGCATTTTCTCTTGTTAAATATCCTGTTGCAGTCTGAAATCCGTGTCAGTACAGAGAAAAACATTGTGAACAGGATTTAAAAGTTACATTTTCAAGCACCTACATTGTCAAAAACTTCCAGAGAAAGTTATGATAAACAGTGGACAATATTCTGTGGGTGAGAACGCTTAATGTCCAGACAAATCAAACCTGATAGAAAGGTGTGGAAAATGTATATAACCATATTAGTGTGCAAGGGCTTTCTTCAAATGCAGTGCAGTGTTTGATGTGAACAGGCTTGTAGAATCAGAAATGCACTGTGGGTTACTCTTTTGTCAGTTAAAAACAAGAAGAGGAACTATAATTAATGGATCACTGAATATTTAAAAACTGGGGAAAATACATACTTGGGCTGGCAAATATCGTAGCATTTGTGTATACAAACGGTAGCTTCTTTTCATGGATGCATCCTGTTAGGAGTCAAAAGCACTATCTAGATCAGGGGTGTCAAACTCAATTCCTGGAGGGCCGGAGCCCTGCAGAGTGTAGATTCAACCCTAATTAAACACACCTGATCCAACTAATCAAATCCTTCAGGCTTATGTGAAAACTACATGGTATGTCTGTTGGAGCAGGGTTGGAACAAAACTCTGCAGGGCTCCGGCCCTCCAGGAATTGAGTTTGACACCCCTGATCTAGATGGTGAAATAATGATGGGATGTTGGGATCTTAAATAGTTTGCTCAGGAAAATAACATTCTGTCATCATTTATTCACCCTCATGTTGATCCAAACCTGTATGGCGTTTTCTTCCATAGAACACAAAAGGAGATGTTTGGCAGAATTTGCTAAACATTACTTTTGGCATTCAGTGCAAGTGATGGGGACTGACTGAAATTTGAATCATTATTAGCTGAAAATCTCCTCCTCATTTGCATCTCATTCACATTCAAATATGTTGCCTCAAGATGCATCTTTTCTTTAATGCATAAAAGCGGCAGGACATTCTGCATAGCATCTTTTGTGTTTTGTGTATAAAAGAAAATCACACGGGTTTGGAATGAAATGCGTGTAAGTGATGCATTTTTTTATTTTTAGGTGAACTATTTCTTTAAAACCAGTTATTTGCATATGCTTTGCTCCTGAAAGCATGGATCCATTTAGGGGTACAGGGGTACCAGACATTCACATTACCAGTCATGTTACAAAGTATCGTTAACAGTGTTTCCATGCTGCAAGAATTCAGACTGTGCTAGAAGCGAAAGATGGAGTTAATAAGACTACTGTAGGCAAGTGCACCAAATAAAGTTGCCACTGCAAGTACATACTTCACCTCCACACAATGCACAGCTGTGTCTCTAGAGGTGACTGCTGCCGTTTCAACAGCAAGTTCAGAGCCAAATGTGCTTATTTTTACAATTTCCCCTCGGGGATCAATAAAATTGATATTTTAGATAACTGCGGGATTTTGAACCTCATTGCTACTCAGCCCAGAGCATACAGGAGAGTATAAAAATACACTCATCATTCACTCCTGGTGGCTGTAATGTTGTGCCTTTAGAACACAACTCTACTACAAGACTAATCTTCTGCAAAGGTTTTTTTCAAACAGCCTTATGTTTTTAAAAGTGTAAAGGCAAAATATCCAGTATCTCAAAATGTTAGAATATTTCCTAAGATCAATCAATCAAAAAAAAAAAAAAGGATTTGCAAAACAGAAAAGCTCAAGTTCTTTAAAGTATGTTAATTTATGCACTCAATACTTGGTCGGGGCTCCTTATGCACAAATTACAGGCTCAGTGAGGTGTGGCATTGCTGAGGCACTATTGAGCCTTCAGCTAGGATCGACTGTTTCTCATCTTTCTCTTGAAAATATTAGATTCCATATGGGCTTCAGGTCAGGCGTGTTGGCTGGCCAATCAAGCACAGTAATATCATGGTCAGCAAACCACTTGGAAGTGGTTTTGGCACTGTGGGCAGGTGCTAAAGTCCTGCTGGAAAAGGAAATCAGCATCTCCATAAAGCTTGTCAGCAGATGGAAGCATAAAGTGCTCCAAAATCTCCTGGTAGATGGCTGCATTGACTTTGGACTTGATAAAACACAA